TGCCCGGGGGCACTGCCCAGCCCGGGGACATTTCCTTCAGGACGTTCATCTTTCCTGACTTCTGTTCCCCGTGCTGTTTGGTTTTCTTCTCGCCCTCTGCCACTATTCTCTCAGGAAGCAGCACAGAGCCAGGGCACCGGGCTCCCCAGTCCTCACCCAGCACCCACACAGCGCCTGGGGTCACCCGCCTCCCTGCCTGGCGCCACTCCTGCCTCGAGTTCCGCTCACCCCTGCCCGAGGCTTCGCTTTTCTCTTAGGCTCTGTCACCTCCTGCCTCGGGTCTCGCTCACCCCTGCCTGTGGCTTCGGCTTTGCTCTTAGGCTCCATCACTGTTGTTTGAGTTGCGTTTTGGAGGGAAAATTCTGTGCTTGTCCTTAACCCGCTACCATCCCCAGAGGTCTCCATTCACCCCAACACCTGCCAGGATGGCTTCCATCCCCATGACCACTGAGACCCAACCTGCAGACCTCAGTGCCCTCACCCATGAATGCAACACCTGTGCCACACAGCAGGAGCAGGCCTGGCCTGGGGCCACCAGGAGCGCCCAACATACAGCCACCTTCCCAGTGTGGTGCTACTGTCAGACCGGAGCAGGCCTGGCCCTGGCCACCTTCCTAGCGCCCGATGCACAGCCACCTTCCCAGCGCCCGACGCACAGCCACCTTCCCAGCGCCCGACGCACAGACACCTTCCCAGCCCCCGATGCACAGACACCTTCCCAGTGCCCGACGCACAGCCACCTTCCCAGCCCCCGATGCACAGACACCTTCCCAGTGCCACAGCCACCTTCCCAGCGCCCGACGCACAGCCACCTTCCCAGCCCCCGATGCACAGACACCTTCCCAGTGCCCGACGCACAGCCACCTTCCCAGCCCCCGATGCACAGACACCTTCCCAGTGCCCGACGCACAGCCACCTTCCCACAGGCCCCACACTCAGCCCTCAAGACATGAACTCACTCCATCCACACACCAGCTGGGGCACAGGTGAGGAAACCGAGGCCCAGGGAGGGTGAGAACCTCCCAGGCTCACAGCAAACCCCAGCCCTGAATCCTTCCCTTCTGCTGACTGAGCCTTTTACTGTCGACCAAGACTTCCAGCCACAATGAAAAGACCCAAATTGACAAACTGCCCATTTTTACACATTCAGGAACAACGTTTAAACCATTAAGCGACAGATAGAAACTGATACACACCAATTACTTCTTTTTATTTTTATTTTTGAGACAGAGTCTCGTTCTGTCACTCAGGCTAGAATGCAGTGGTGTGATCTCAGCTCACTGCTACCTCCACCTCCCGGGCTCAAGTGACTCTCCCACCTCAGCCTCCGGGGTAGCTGGGACCACAGGCATGCACCACCATGCCTGGCCTAACATTGCTATTTTTTGTAGAGGAGGGGTTTCACTATGTTGCCAAGGCTGGTCTCGAACTCATGAGCTCAAGCGATCCGCCAGCCTCGACCTCCCGGAGTGCTGGGATTACAGGTGTCAGCCACTGTGCCCAGTCAGCCAATTACTATTAAGAAGATTTTCTGGCCAGGTGCGGTGGCTCATGCCTGTAATCCCAGCACTTTGGGAAGCCGAGACGGGCGGATCATGAGGTCAGGAGATCGAGACCACCCTGGCTAACACGCTGAAACCCTGTCTCTACTAAAAAATACAAAAAACTAGCCGGTCGTGGTGGCGGGCGCCTGTAGTCCCAGCTACTCAGGAGGCTGAGGCAGGAGAATGGCGTGAACCCAGGAGACGGAGCTTGCAGTGAGCCGAGATCGCGCCACTGCACTCCAGCCTGGGTGACAGAGCGAGACTCCGCTTCAAAAAAAAAAAAAAGAAGATTTTCTGGTGGAGCACAGGAGCTCACGCCTGTAACCCCAACAGTTTGGGCGGCTGAGATGGGAGGATCGCTTGAGCCCATGGAGGTTCAGGCTGCAGTGAGCTGTGATTGTGCCACTGCACTCCAGCCTGGGTGACAGAGCGAGACTCCGCTTCAAAAAAAAAAAAAAGAAGATTTTCTGGTGGAGCACAGGAGCTCACGCCTGTAATCCCAACAGTTTGGGCGGCTGAGATGGGAGGATCGCTTGAGCCCATGGTTCAAGAGCAGCCTAAGTGACCAACACAGTGAGGCCCTGCCTCTTAAAAAAAAGACTTTATGAGCCCATCCAGGGGAATCAAGCACAGGGAGCCCTGTCCCCAGCACCAAACGTCTCCCCTTGGCACGCACCAGGCCCCCACAACGACAGAAGCACATCCCTGCTCTTCTAGGAGGGCAAGACTGGGCCGCTGGGCCCATGAAGCTCAGAATGATGAGCCGTGACCGGCCCATCCCCGAGGCTGCTGCTCGTGAACCGGCAGCCCACACACCCCCCCTCTACCGAGGAGTGCAAAGTGCCCAGAGGCACCACAGGCCAGCACAGAGCTTGGGTGTTCAGCTCTGGACCAGACCCAGTAACCACAACAGCTTTCCCACCAAACGGGGTAGGAAAGAGCCCACTGGCCCACTGAGGCTCACCTGGTCTGTGCAAAATGGCTGAGAAGCTCCCAGAGGCTCTGGCCTGAACAGAAACAGTCCTGCAGCCTGGAGCCATCGTCCAGCTGCAGAGCGATGCGAACCTGGAGAGTACCAGACGTGAGAAACTTCCTTAGGAAGAAAGGCAACCATTCTGTCTAAACCCCAGACTGATTCTCCAGACGCAGAGACGGCGACTGCCCCTGCCCCGGCCTCCGGGGAGAGGCTGACCCCCACGGAGAAGGCTGCCCTCCTGTGTACTCTGGAGTGAGGGCCATGGAGGCTCCCTGGCAGGGCTGCACCAGCATGTGTCTGTGCATGTGTGTGTGCGGGTGTGTGCAAGGGTGTGTGCAGGTATGTGTGTGTGAGGGTGTGTCCAGGTGTGTGTGCATGTGTGTGCAAGAGTGTGTGCAGGTGTGTGTGCAGGTGTGTGGGTGTGCAGGTGTGTGAGCACGTGTGCGTGTGTGTGTGCAGGTGTGTGCATGTGCAGGTATGTCCATGTCTGTGTGCGGGCGTGTGCAGGTGTGTGTGCATGTGTGTGTGGTGTGTGAAGGTGTGTGCGTGTGTACACAGGTGTGTGCATGTTTCTATGGGTGGGTGGTGTGTGCGGGTGTGTGCAGGGGTGTGTGTGTGTGTGCATGTTTGTGTGCGGGTATGTGGGTGTGTGCATGTGTGTGTGCAGATGTGTGTGCGAGTGTTGGGGGGTGTGTGCACGTGCACGTTTGTGTGCGGTGTGTGTGCAGGTATGTGCAGGCGCCACGGGAGGGAACTGTGTTGGAGACACTCCTCGTGTCCCAGTGGAGGCTTCAAAAGATTGCAGCTCCACGGAACCTGACTGCAGCCTCAGGAGACACCCTGAGCTAAGCTGCTCCCAGATTCCTGACGCTCAGAAACCACATGAGATGGTAAATCTTTTTTTTTTTTTTTTGGAGACAGAGGCTCACTCTGTGGCCAGACTGGAGTGCAGTGGAGCAATCTCAGTTCACTACAACTCCGCCTCCCGGGTTCAAGCGATTCCCCTGTCTCAGCCTCCCAAGTAGCTGGGATTACAGGTGTGTGCCACCACATCCAGCTGCTTTTTGTATTTTTAGTAAAAACAGGGTTTCACCACGTTGGCCAGGATGGTCTCAATTTCTTGACCTCATGATCCCCCGGCCTCGGCCTCCTAAAGTGCTGGGATTACAGGATTACAGCTGAGCCACTGCGCCAGGTCCACTATATCTTAACATCCCAACTTTTTTTTTTTTTTTTTGAGATGGAGTCTTGCTCTTCACCCAGGCTGGAGTGCAGTGGCACAATCTTGGCTCACTGCAAGCTCCGCCTCCTGGGTTCACACCATTCTCCTGCCTCAGCCTCCCGAGTAGCTGGGACTACAGGCACCCACCACCACACCCGGCTAATTTTTGTATTTTTAGTAGAGACAGGGTTTCATTATGTTGGCCAGGCTGGTCCCAAAGTCCTGACCTCAGGTGATCTGCCCACCTCGGCCTCCCAAAGTGCCCTGATCACAGGCTGCCCTTGCGGCATCCATGCAGCGCTTTGGGCTCTAACATTCTGGGCAATTCTATGAGCAGGTGGTCAGGCTGGTGGGTGAATGCTGCTGACACCCCAAGCCGGGGAGGGCACAACTGACCCCACCAGAAAGCAAGTAAAACTTCCACACGAAGAATGATGCGGGCCAGGCACGGGGGCTCATGCCTGCAATCCTTTGGGAGCACTTCAGGAGGCCAAGGCAGGTGGATCACGAAGTCAGCAGTTCCAAGCCTGGCCAACGATGGTGAAACCCTGTCTCTACTAAAATATAAAAGTTAGCTGGGGCGCAGTGGATAGAACCTGTAATCCCAGCTACTCGGGAGGCTGAGGCAGGAAATCACTTGGGCCCAGGAGGGCGGATGTTGTCAATAAGCCGAGATCCTTCATCC